AAAAATTAAAATGACAGTTGAGCTAAGAAAACAAATCAGGATAACCAAAGAATTACAGTTTAACGATGCATGGAGGTGTTACTAATGTTGGCTCAAAATGATCCTGCAACCAAAGTTATAGAGTTATAGATGTTGAGTATGTCAGAATGCAGCTATGTGATTGGCTGGCAGACTCACACTTGTACCTGTAGATCTGCTTTAACAGTGTGACTTAAAGTGTCTTAAAGAGATCAGAGAACCTAGAAAAAGGAAAATGAACAATAGTTGTTCCAGCACTGACGGACCGCAGCTATTAATGAACACATTCAGACAACTTTTGTTTTTCATTCCTTGTTGTAGCAGTGAAACCGATCTTTCTGCAGTTGACTCGCCACTCTGAACCGCTGAGGCTACGAACCCTCAGCTCAGAGTTCTTCCTCTCCACATTCTTGCATAAAGGGGCCTGTATGTCTCATATTATAGGGTCTTTACCATTTCTATAAAATAATCTTGAGGTAACTGTTGGTGTTATCTTGCACTATATAAATAAAATGTATTCGAACTGATAAGCTGACTAAATGTCTTCAGTCAGGTTTACATATGGAGGGTTAAGCTAGGAAGCACCTGCCTGGTAGATGAACACCAAACCAGGGAGTATACCTACATTTTACACTTCATCATATATAATTTATCATGTAATCTGTGTATATATGGATGTGTTTTTGCAGTGCAGCTCCATGCAGAAGTCTGTTATGCAGAGTGTCAACTCCAAAGAGCTGCCCTCACCTTCCTGCAGGTGCAGTATGCTAATATCCTTCTAACAAAGTAACAATTTCTCTACACTTTCAAAAACAGCACAACCTCCCAGTCTAGTTTTCTTAAGGCTGCACAAGCTGTAGAACCTGCCTCATATAACACACAGCATGCAAAAACCATCATGTTAAATTTGTTTGCAAACAACACACAGGTAAACTGCAGCGATGCTTTCCTTGCACTGTTTTGCAGGATGAGAACATGGTGAGTTTTATCAAAGGAGGAATCAAAGTACGAAACAGTTACCTTATTTACAAGTAAGTAAACAACGAAACAAGAAGCTGTTTTTAAGTAAATGTGTAATGTTTGTAATGCAGTATAGTAATTAAAGTAATTTTGAACTTGTCTAAACATAACGCAGTCACTAAAACATGTTTGCACTGTGATTATTAAACGGCTACTTCACCAGTTTTCCAGTTGAAGGATTTGCTGATTTATCACAAATGCAAGCAGTCTCGAACAAGTGTTTGCTGAACGCCTCCATGTTTTTACTTTTCATCAACCTCTGTAGTTAAACGGTGATATGATGAGCTGTGTGATCAGAAATACTTGTCTTTCGTAATGCAGAGAGCTGCATTCCTTCATAAAATCGCACCACTGTCTCAAAGAACCCAGCCACGTTCACTTAGAGGGAGGAATAGCATTCGGGATTGGGGCGTTTAACCTGGTATGTCCCACATTATATATTTGCACTGCTGGGTGGCTGCATGTGTATAATCACGTGTTCGTATTATTCAGTTTATCTTCTTTGCTTACAGACTCTCTCTCTCTTCCCTCCGCGGATACTCAAAGTTTTGGAGTTTGCAGGCTTCTCTGGAGACAAGGTGCAGTGAACATACGCTTCCACCTCTGTGTATTTAATCATTATCTGACAGCTGTTATTTTATGTTTTCTTTTTAATCCTGTTCAGGAATACGGCTTGTCTCTTTTGAACGACGGTGCGACGGGGATGAACTTGCGCTCTATGCTGTGTGCTCTGCTGCTGCTCTGCTACTACACCTTCCTCACATTCATACTAGGTAGTGCTAAAAATCAGGGTTTTTTTAATCATTCCTACAAGACGCCTGTTATATTATATGTCTATTTTATCCTCTCAGGGACAGGCGAGGGAGAGGTGGTGGAAGCTGAGAGATTGCTGAAACCTTTCCGTCTGCGCTACCCACGGGTAACTTACTCTAATTATTTAAAACAGTTTTATAAAAACTTGTCTGTATTCAGCTATTGTCCTTACTAGACTGGAGACTATGAGAGCTTTTAACCCTTTTGACTGTGACTTACTCAGTGAGCACTCGGAGACTGTGCAGCAGTCAAGCATGTGACTCCCCCTGGGTAACACTGGGTAACACCTATGTCACTAATGTGACACCTGGAGTTCCACAGGCATCTGTCTCAGGGCCTGTTCTGTTTTTCTTTGCTGCATGCTCCCTCATGGTCAGATTATCTGCCAACATAACAGATGATTTATGGTTGTATTTACCTTTTGAATCTTGGAAATCACTATTACATAAGAAGGTTCGATGAGTGCATTTTTGGATATCCCACACTTTCTTACAGTTAAGTCAGTTCAAAACCAAAGCTCTCCAGTATTAACTGAGAGGCTGAAGCATTACCTGGGCTATTTAACTCCTTTTATTAAAAACACAGCTTAAGAACTTTTGACACGTTTACAATTAGACAAACAAATAAATGTGGTGGTAAAGATCAGTTTCTTCCACCTCAGAAAAACCTCCAGACTAAAAACATCTTTGCAACAATCTGATCTGCGAAGGATTATGCATGTCTTTGTTACTTCTAAACTGGAATATATTGGAGTATAACCCTATACTGTTATTAGCCTTGCACTGGCTAATTACAGAATCCAGCATCCAGAAGCCTTTAATGGGGTTGTATATACATATGTGGTAGACAGAGATGGGCAGTAACGCGTTACTTGTAACTCTGATTACTTTTTCA